CCTGCAAGGGGGGTGGGGGGGGACCCCCACTCCCCTGATCCCGCAGCGTGGTCCCGCTCCTGGCCTCAGTGCCCCTGTCTGCGAAATGGGTCTAACTGCGTTCAGGGCTGAGAAAAGCGGCGTCTCCCCTGCCAGGGAAGCGACACCGGTGTGTGCGGGGACCCCTGCGAATGCTGCACGGTTTCCGGGGGGCGGCGGGGGGCTTTTTGGAAGGCAAGCGGGTCCCAATCCCCGGGGAACTCATTTGCTTCGCGCTCTCTGGCGGCTCCCATGGCCCCGCAGCTTTAGTTTCCACGGTACGGGGGACGAGGAGGTCTCCCCCTTTTCCCCGCTCGCTGGATGGTCATCGTTTCTAGGGTCGGAAGGGACCTGAACACATTTTTTTACCTTTTTCTTGCACTTCACATTTTGGGGGGTTAGCAATTTGAGCATCAAGCTTCCTCTCTGATCCTGAAGGTCAGGAAGGGAAGGTGCGAGGTTTTGCATGGGGAGATTTTTTCCCCTTCACGGATATAATTTTACGTACTTGTTTTCCTGCAACAGCAGCCGAAGCCCTTGTCAAATCAGCAGGATTATTACTGTGGGTTGATGGGTTACTCTCTCCCAATGCGTTGGTCTCGAAGATCCTGAAGATGGGTACCGCCTGCGGTACGCAGACAGCCTGTCAGTGGTACACGTTAACTGACTTATTATAATGACTATATATGACAAAAAATTGCGGGTGGTGCATAAGGTTGAATTGGAAAAAGTGCTGGTGGGCCTGAAGGTTGTATCGTTTTCAATCGGTGGTGCTCACAGAGGATGCCTGCCGTGGATTTGGGGGTATCCAAAACCCCAGGCCCAGGGGAGAGGAGACTTGCCAGTGGTAGCGCCCTGCAGATTTGAACGATTGAGCTCTGCTCCGTCAATACAACTCGGAAGGGATTTGGCCCAAGACACAACATTCAAAAAAAAATCAAAAATCTGTGAAATGGGTCCATGGTGGAGCATCAAAACAAAGGCTAAGAGGGCAGGTGCTCAGGTAATGGCCTGCGGGAGTGATCGGGACCATAAAGGGCCAACCCCTCCTTCAAAGCGGAATCAAACCTGTTTCTAGACCATCCCCGACAGGTGTTTGGCTGTTCCCAAAATCTCCAGTGAGCTGGGTCCCTGGTTTCTCCACCAGACCAGGAAGTTTTTCTGTGTTTCTCCCTCCCAAAAGCAGCACTTTGCACTTGTCTCGACTGCATTTCATCTGGTTGGTTTTGAACGGAGCTCTCCGCTTCCTTGGACTTGTGCTGAGCTCCCGGGCTGCCCTCCGAAGCGCGTCCAACCCCTCCGAGCCTGGCGGCATCGATGAGCCCGCTCTCTGCTTGGACATCTGAGCTGTTAATGGGCCGTGGCTCCTTGTTCTCATTGCTCCTCAACCTTCGTGCTTTAAAGCAAAGTCAGAAGGAACGGGGCCGACAGCGGACCCTTGCAGGACCCCCCCCAGAGACACTTTCAGGCCATCGATAGCTGCTCTCTGGGCGCGTCTACATGTTCATTAATGCACCGTAGTTACTGCGCATTAAATTTAGTACTTGGGGCAGAAGCAAAGCCTAGTTAGGCCCACACATCGCTGCTCTGCCTGGTTTCTAAACACGGGGCACGGTGAGTGCTGGTAGAGGGTTCGCAAGCTGTTTAAAGGGCTACCACCCAGGTACCGTAAGCAACATTGCTGGGGACCGACTCGTCCCGGGAGGGTGCTGGGATGGGTGGCAGGGCGCTGGGAAGTGAGATGATGCTCTGCTGCAGTGCCCGCTTGCTCTTTGTGTTTCTTTCCCCATAGCCAGTTGGGCTTTCTAGGTGCAGCATCAGCTTTGGATAGCAGGGGAAGACATGAGGACATGCCCTGTCGGGGTGTTCTCCTCCAACAAGAAGAGATTGTCCCGCCCGAGCGCCTGCTGGGCTGTTTCTCTGTCTCCCAGCTGCGCACTGCTGCCCGTCCCAACAGTCTTCAAGCAACTTCGATGCAAACTGCATAAAAAATCCCCAGTGGGATTTGGGGAGGCCCTGGGAGACAATCCTGATTGAGAGAAATGCCGCTTGACACTGTGCAAAGTTAATCTTGCTGCCACTAGGTATCACAGAAGGATTAGGTCTGTATATGGGAAATAAGAACCCGCTCCATCGCTTCCGGCAGGATAAAGGGATCTTAATCATACAATCAGAGACAATGAGGGCTGAAGGGACCTCGGGGGTCACATCTCGTCCAACCCCTGCTCCAAGCAGGACCAGCCCCAACTCCATCATCCCAGACAAGGCTTTGTCTACCCGGGGCTTCAAATCCTCCAAGGATGGAGATCCCACCACCTCTCTGGGGAGCCTGGTCCAGTGCTTCACCACCCTCCTCGTGAGAAAGTTTTTCCTAATATCCAACCTCAACTTCCCTTGCTGCATCTTGAGCCCATTGCTCTTTGTTCTCATTGCTCCCTAATCTTCATGCTTTAAAGCAAAAGCCAACAACTGATGGGGTTGAGAAGAAACTTCCTTTATGGATTTCATTTTTCTTCTGACGCATCCAGGCTGGCCGTTGCTAGAGGTAAGGTGCTGAACTACGTGGGCCTGGCAGCTGATGCAGTCTGGTCATTTTTATGCTCCTGTGTATAAAAGGGAGTGGAGTCCTTGCTCTCTCTGGTGAGACTAGCCATTGCAAGGATGCCGCTTTCCCATGAACTGGACTAAGAGCCCCCCACCCCAAGCAGCTGCGATCTTGTATCAGGTTTCAGATCCCTCTTACCCTGGGGCTGGATTTCATCAGGTGACCCTCGGAGGGATGCGTAGCATTTATTTCAGCATAACTCGGAACCAGAACAACTCCCCAAACCCCTCAGCCTTTGCACGTGGAGCGGTTTCAGGTGTTACCTTCCTGCTGCTTGCAAGAGCGCTTCCCAGAGAAACTGCCCGACAAACCTGCCGGCGAGCAAGCAGGACTTCACCATGCAGAGTGTGGACGGGGAAGGAAACTCGTAACAGCCGGTGCAGCAGTGCCATCTGGTGACTCCCAGCTTAGCAATATCCGTCTTGGCTGACTACTCCATCAATGGTCCCTAGGGCCCCTTCGAATAGAAACCAGCTACAGAGTTGTTACATGTTTTCAAGCCCTAAATTCAGAGCCGGTTGGCTCTGTTGATAATCTGATAATTACTTTGCACCTGTGGCCAGTCTAAATGTATTGTGCAATGAACCAGTTAATTGTGCGATCATTACTTCGCATGCATGGCCGGTTTAAATATATTGCACAATTCACCAGTTAATTGAGTGATATATGTAACGTATGGCAAGGGCCTGTGATGACCGCGCAGCATGCCTGCAGTCTCCAGGAAGGCGCGGGTCGCAAGCAGAAAAGGCTGTAGCGGAGCGGGAAAAGGTCTGGAGAAGGGCGACAGGGATGATTAGGGACATGGAGAGGTTTCCGTACGAGGGGAGATGGGACTTTGCAGCTTGGAGCAGAGACCGCTGAGGGGGGATAGGATGGAGGTCTATACAATCATGACAGGTGGGGAGAAAATAAACATACATGTCCTATTTACCATCTCTCTCGTTACCACAACCAGGGATGCACAAGGGAACAATGAGCGAGCAGGTTTAAAACAAGCCGAAGGCAGGTCCTATTCATGCCGAGCTCTGCCCGGAGAAGCCCCTCTCTTCAGCAGGCTGAGTGTTGCATCATGGAGGGAAACTGCAAGACCTGGTAAATCCCAGCCCCATCTCTCTGCTGCAGGGCAGCTTCTCTCATTTATTATAGCAACAGCCTCATCCGAGCTGACTCAGGCAGTGCATCCTCCACCCTTCCTCCTGGGAGCTCTTGCTGTGGCCTGATAAATCCCTTGCTTACCTTCCAGCTCTCCATTTCCTCCTATTCCTTCTCGCTGTCATGCACTTCCTTGGGCTAAGCTCCACTTCCTTCACTTTACACACAGCGCTGCACCCTGGCCCAGACACCGCGTAGCCGTGCTGTCGTGTATGAAGCCGTGGCTTCTGAAACAGCCTGAGCTTTGGGATAGGTAGAGTCCCACTCCCCCTGCACGGAGGGAGAACCGTGCTATTATATTATAGCTGGGGGATTGACACAGGGCATGTCTACATGAAATGTGTTAATGCACATTAGCCTACTTTAACGTGCATTACGGGTGCACATCTACATGTGCACGGTCTTAATGCACATTAAAAATGGCAAAATTAGGCAAATCACACCTAAATTTGATATCTACAAATGCAGGTATCAAATTTAGGTGTGATTAGTTAAAGCACATCAATGCACGTGTAGGCGCAACCTGGCACTAACTTTAGTGCCAAGTCCCTGCATGTGTAGACACCTGCCAAAAACCACTTAATGTGCTTATTTAGTCTCGCTTATTTGCACGTGTAGGCATGCACACAGAGAGGCTATGGCGCTTGCCTGGAGTCCCGCAGGACATCTATGGAAGAAGAAAGACTGCAACCAGGCTTCCCAAGTCTTGGGCTTCACCCCAATCCCATAGGATTTGTGCTGCCATCCCTGCCCGCCTGGATTGAGGAGTTTAAGGAGGATGAATTTAAGGCACTGAACATGAGTACGGACAGTAGGATGGGCCCATTGCCCCAGAGGTTACTTCCTCTGACATTACACGTGTGTACGTGTGACACTGAGGTACGACGTGACATGGCCTTGTGGTTTCGGCACTGATACCCTATCTGTGTTTGCATTTGTGAGATGTCCTTGCCCCCCGAAATAATGGAAGGTCAGGGGCAGCTGGGGATCCTGGATGTTGGGAGGGAGAGCTGGGTGTTTCTGCTGGAGCGACTGGCAGGGAAGCAGTCAATGGTATGAATCTCTGAGTGCTCATCTTTAGGCTTCAGAGTGAACGCCCTGATGTGATGAATGGGACGTTTCTCACCTCTGACAGCTGCTGGGCCGGGTCCAACAAACCCTACAAGTTAGTTCCTGCAATACTGAGCTTCTGAGCACCTGGTGCCAGACCCTACGGCACCTAATAAGACACCCAGCTGCTCTTGGGTGCCTAAATGTGGGCCTATTCCACCATGGCCAAGTCCCTAAAAAATCAGTTAGTGTGGGAGATGGAGGCCTGCTTATGGTGCCAGCTGGAGTTGAGGGCACCGGAGGCAAATGAGGCGCTGTTGCCGTTCTGCCCGACCCTCAGCCCCTTCCTCTCATCCCTCCACCCTGCTCTGCAGGTCCTTCCCTCTCCCCAGCCACTCTGCAGAGGCTTTCGCACACGCCCGGCTTTGCAAGGGAGGCTTTCGTACCAAGGACAAAGCATTACTAAGGGATGGGCTGAGACCCGTAAGCTCAATTCATTTGTGACCTTTGAAAGTACCAGACTCGAGCCTGTTCTTTCAAGAGCCATGTCAGAGCCAAGCCACTGACAGCGACCTCCTCTCCACCACAAAATACCCCAGAGCAAGGTGCTGTCGGTGGCACGGTCCACAGAGAGCAGCAGTGACAGGCGTGGTGACTGCTGCTGAGCAGTCGTGAGGTCAAGACAAGGAGCGACCTGGGTGTTGGAACAAAAACGAGCATGAGAGAGGTCCTCAGGTCCCCAGACCGGTGCATCGTATCGCACGTGGGCACAGAGAAGGTAGTTGTACGTGTCCCCTCCAGCAGTGAGTCATGGTTTCTCTGCTATCGGCAGCACTTACAATTCAGACACCCACTCGAGACCCAACACCACCAAAAAGAAACCCCCCAACTGATCCCTAGCAGCATTCTGACCTCAGAAGAGGGAGAAGTACCAGCTTCATGTGAAGCATTGCCAGAGTTTATATGGATGGACGTAACCAGGGAACGGGCAGCTACATAAACCCTTAACAGAGAGGCATCCAGGGAGGCACGATGCCCACAGCTTTGTCAGGAATCTCAGGTCAGAGATTAGGGTTAATGGTGGGTTAACGCATTGCCTGCTGACCGAGGAAAACGTGGAGCAACAACACTACGGCCTGGTTAGCCGCAGAGCTTTGCTATTTGGTCGGAGAATGTCACCGATGAACAGAGGTCCCAAGTGAGCCGGCAGGCCTGTGCCTGTGACCGGGGAGATGATGGGAAGCTGGCTGGCCTTTCAGTACTGCAGCCCTGCATTTGCAGCCTGCCGTTACCCACAGAGCGGCAGGTTTCGCTCCAGACCCTCAGCCAAGCAAACAATAACCCACATCACAGTGACCCCAGGAACAGGCTGGCAGCGCCCGCAAGTCCATCTAGTCCAGTCTCCCACTCGAGGCAGGATAAGCCCTGTCTAAACCATCCTAGACAAGTATCCGTCCGGCCTGCTCTTCACAGTTTCGGAGGACAGATTCCCCCCCGTGCTCTGGGCAGCCTGATCCAGCGCTGAACCACACTCATGGTGATCAAGTCCTTCCTAATCCCCAACCTTCATTTCCTTTGCTGCAGCTGGAAGCCATTGCTCCTAGTCCTGTCCCCCACCGCCCCAGAGAGCGGAGGGGTGTCAGGAGAGTTGTCTCGTCTTGCATCAGGGTTGCGAAGAGTTTAGATCATGGGTTTATCTGGATGGTTTGAACAAGACGGATCCTGCCGCAGGCAGGGGGGCTGGACTAGATGCAACCTTTGGCGGTCCCTTCCAGCCCCGCTTCTCTATGATCCAAATGGCAACTGAACATCGGAGACCCTCCTACGGTGGGATGAATGGCAGTGGGGAAAACGACTGCACAGGGCAGCTTGTGTTTTAACGCTGGTTTTATTTTTATAAAAATACACAACTCAGAAGTCCAGAGAGGCTCTATACAAGCCATGCGGGAGGAGTCACTGAAATACAGCCGACCGGTTCACAGCATGAACGACGACGACACAAAAAATACCAACGTCAGCTCACCGACAGTATTTAGAATAAAACGCGGCGCATCCACCGCTCACCTGTACAACACGGAAAGAGTATGCAAGTCCCTGAATAGGAGTCAACGCAGGAAGCCTTTCTGAAGAACATCGGTCATTAAAGGGGTCCTTTCTTATACAACTGGCCCACGTGGCTTGGGATTGTACCCTGTAGCAGCAGGATCACTCTTCCTGGTTGAAAACACATGGACAAACAGATTCAGAGCCACAGTTGCGGGGTTTCCTTAGTGATGGAGATGAGGAGACTTGCAAAGGTGGTGTTCAAAAGAAGTCTTAAGCCAAACCCCAGACACTGACCCCGCTCCAGTGATTTCAGCATCAATCTCTGGGAAAGGAGATGGGCTGCTCGTTGAAAACCAGCACTGCCCACGATCCCAGCGTGCTCACCCACGTGTCCAAGAAGGCAGGGCCATTAGTTTCTGTCTCCCTGCCATCCTGCATTAGAAACCCGGAGAGGATCGAAGCGATTCCGACCTGAACGTTTCCCCAAACCAACACCCCCCACAAAGGCATATAACTTAGTTATAAAAATAAATGGGAGGGAGGAAAGGACAGAAGAGCAGCTTCAAAAACAAGAGACAAGGGATCTCTTCCATTGCACGCAACTTGCTTGGGAACCCTGCTGAGGGAGAAGGGAAATCTGGCCCTCCATCTGCTTTTATTCCCTCCAGTTTTACTCCTTTTTGGTGTGATGCTTCGCCAGCCCCTCCTGATTGTCTTTTTCCACGTGGCTTTGGGAAGGGAGGCTGGTTGGACCAGCTGGGAGCACACACGGAGGGCTTGCAGGGGGCAAGTCCTGGCTGGAGTTTCTCAACCAAAAGTGCAACTATAAACACCACATTATAATGTCAGGTGCCCACTGACTACCTGAAGGCCTCACAAGTGCAACACAGCCCGGAGACAGACCACGGTAAGTGGAAACGCACAACAGCAGCATGCCCCACGTGCTGCAGTTTTACCTTTATGATGGGGACAATGACTGACAAAGGAAGGGACCAGGAGCAGGGAGGGGGGAGCGAAGTCAGGGGCTGGATGGGAGGACTCACCCCAGCAGAAACACCCAGCCGTGGCCTGAGTGAAACAGGAGAGTGTCAGAGCCTAAAGTGCGTGGGTGGATCAGGAGAGGGAGCAGAGCTCTGGCTTTTGGGGGTTTAGAGATCACGCCCTGGGTATCTCCGAAGTGCTAATGCTTCTGTCCACTGCAATACAAAATGAGGGCAACGGTAAGTCACCCAAGGGGGCTCCTACCAGAGCTGGCTGCCGCTTCCAGCCTGGTCTCAGATGCATTCAACCTCTGTCATCGGGGACCTGCTACGAAGCTGCCTTGCTCAGATCCAGATTTGCGGGGGAGGAATTTTAAAGGGAAGGAACAAGGTAGAATTACCCCAGTGCATGTCTTGTATCTGCAGTTTATCTTGGGGTAGCTATTTGCTCAGGATAAAGGGGATTACTCCCCCACCACCTGGCAACAGGGCGCTGTAATAGTTGCCTGTTGCATGCAGCTACCCTGGGAAAACTGCCATCTGTGCACTCCAGCTCCGTGGCAGGGAAATTCTCTGTTCCCTGAAATGCAGGACCAGTCCCCACCTGGCCAGCTTGTACCTGTGTGTGTCACGCATACATTCAATGGAGACAGGGAGAGGTCTGTGTAGCTCCCAGAGCCTGCCTCCGACACTGCCAGGAGGATGCGAGCCAGAGGAAGTCCACATGGCTGGAAGGGGTAGAGGTGCTGAGTGCACTGTCTCAGTGGAGAACACTGTCTTCACCAGCCAGGTGCTGATTACAAGGGCATCAAGCCTCCCCTTCAGGAAGCTCTGCTCTCACTGGCACTGAACTGGATGCCTCCCCACCTGGGAGCCTTAGTGAGCAGGACAAATGGGGCATGCTCTGGGCCAGGGCCTGCACTGGGGGAAGAGATTGTGCATGCAGTAGCAGCAGAAATGCCTTTCGAGAAGAAGTGCGTACTCCCCAGAGCAGCAGGTTGACCCAAGGAGACTTCAGCACTGGAGTCACCAACACCACATGGCCTGGGTGTGTGGGAAGGAGATGGCTCCTGGTACCCAAGCATCTGCTGGAGGAGAGATGTCTCTTCATCCCTTTGGTGGCAAGTCTTCTTTCAAGCCCAACTCTCCACTGGGTTCGGGGATGCCATTAGGAGTCTGCAGGGCAGCACTGCTGTTGGGACTAGCTCAGCTGGCCTGGGAGAATCAGCCCCCACATCCTGCAGTCTCTGGCTGGGGTTAGAGCTTTGCTCGTGAGGCGACACAGACTTGGCTCATCTCTGGGTGCAGAGAGATGAACATGACCCAATAGATGGTTCTCACGGCCCCTCACCAGGCAGCAGTGGAGCGCTGACAGTCTGTTGGCCTGTAGCAGGGGGTATCAAACTCATGGCCCCATACAGATGACGGTTGCTGGGACAGTGCGTGGGCTGCATCGGGACCGTACACTGCAGCCAGTCTAGACTGGGCCACAAGTTGTCTGCGCGTGTTGGAGCCAGTGCTCGGAGCTGGTCCAGTATGGCCACCACATACTGTGCGCACCCCAGCGGTGCACACCTAGGGGTGGATGCAGAGAGGCCACACTGAAGAAGCCTCCAGGGACTTTTTAAAGTTGGGAGCACATGGAAATCCTGCCTCCCTTCCCCTTCCTGCTCAGAGACAGCTCCCTCCCCATCTTTGCCTGCTGTTACAGGTGTGGGGAAGCACCAGAGCCCTTCCTGCCTGCTACGTGGCGCTCAGCTGGGGAGGTGGACAAGAGCAGCAGGGGGGTGGACAGAGGATTTCGTTTCCCTCTGCAGCTGCCCCCTCCCGTGCTGAGCCCAGCCCCTCTCGATCCAGCTGGCTCTGGAGCTTCCTCACTCCCCAAACAGTTGAGAAAACAGCAGTGGCAGGTGGAGCAGGGGGATCATTTGCTTTAGGGACTTAAAGTCCCCAGAGGCTCCCGTTTGCACTAGTGGGGCACAGAGGGCTGGGAGCAGAGGCTGAAATGTGGGATGCTGTTTCTGTACCTCCTTTGGGAAATCCTGGATCCACCCTGGCAGGGCCCTTGATGGAAGGTCCCATCATGTGTCTGCTGCCCTTTCAAGGCTGCTAGGCTGGGTACGCTGCTGAAAAGCTGTGGTCTGCCCAGCCGCTCAAGGAAAGTGTAAGATTGGTGCAGAACAGCGCAGGGCCTGAACCTAGTGGAGCTGAGCACGAGGTCGCCAGAAGCTCAATAGTGCTCAGCAGTGCCCCAGGTGAGCCTTGGTCCAGATCAGCTCTGAGGGCCAGGGTGGTGGGTTGTACCAGCTCCTCCATGCAGAGCTGGCCCATGCACGGGTGGTGCTGGGATGGAACCGTCCTGTCCCGCCTGTTCTCATCCCTGCTGTGCTTTTGTGAGGGAGCTCACCGTGCTGTCAGCACAGGACCACAGACCAAGTCAAAGAGCTTCTTCCCCTCCTGTCTATTCCCCTGGAGAGATTAGTGAAGAGGGATGGTTTGTGCCCTGCTGCGGCCCAGAACCCAGGCCCTGATCTGGAACACTTAATGGAGGGATACAAGGGACCAGCAAAATGGGCTGAGGACTGAGGGACCTGTACAGCTTCTTCAGGCCTTAAGAGGTATTTGTAGTGTAAAGAGCAGCAAATGCACGTACCAGGCAGATGCCTCTGCTATTCCAGAGGGGACGCAGGGAGATGAGCTTCAGGGCATGGCACCAGGGAACATGCCAGATGATTCTTGCTGTTGCTTTCAGCACTGGGATAACCAACCAGTGAGAGCCATGAAGAACCAAGCCTAATACCTGCCAAAGGAGAAGCCTTGAAGGCCAGGAAAGCCTGGGGAGAGGACATTTGACATGAAACGAGCAGAACACAACCCCTGGTTGGCGAGAGGGGATGGAACTTCACTGCCTTAATGATGCTGCATCCACTGGCACTAAGGGGGAATCCAGGTCTTGGACCCTGCTGAGGGCTCGAGGGGGCAGGACACCTCCTCCCTGACAGGACTGACAGATGTGCTGAAATGTATCCCTCCCGGGGCCAAGGCCTGCTCCGTCTGCAATCACTGGGGGCAGGAGAGGAGACAGCCCTGTCTCCCTTCACGAGACAACAGTATGTGCATGAGGTGAGACTTGCCCCATCAGCTGGCTGTCACAGCGTGGTGGCCTGGCGTACAGTGAGGCGGGGAGGGGGTTCCCAGCCAGTGTCCCTATTTGATGTTCTTGAGAAGTGCGGTCCGGGCGTTGACGACGGCTTTGAAGGCATCCTCGCTGCCAGGAGCCACGCACTTGTCCGGATGCAGCAGCACCGCCAGCTTCCGATAGGCCTTGTTCACCTCGTCCCTAGGAGATGAGAAATGGTAGTCAGCAAGAGAACGCCAGGCGGGTTCCCCCTCTGCAGGGCTCTCTGTGGACACATTGCAATACACTGGTGCCAGTCGGGGGGCAGACTGCGGGGGAGCCATGAGGGGCTCAGAGCTGTTCTTATCCCAATTGTGGAAAGACAGGGTGTCCATCTAATCCAACCCCTGCTCAAGGCAGGACCACCCCTGTCTGAACCAGCCCAACCAACCTTTTGTCTAACCTGCTTTTGAAACCTTCCAAGGATGCAGGTTCCCCCCTGCCCCACAACGTATCTGCTCTAATGCCAAACCAGCCTCTGAGCGAGAAACTTCTTCCTAATCTCCAACCTGCATTTCCCGTTGCAAGTGAAGACCATTGCTCCTAGTCCTGTCCCCTGCGGCCAGAGCACAGTCCATCCCCATCCTCTATCTAAACACCCTGCAGGCAGTTAAAGACTATTATGCAGTCCCATCCTCAGTCACCTCCGCTCCAAACTAAACAAACCTCACTTCTTCCAGCCTGCCCTCACATGTCAGGTCTCCCAGACTTCTAACTACATTTGTTACTCTCTGCTGGAATCATTCTGATTTGTCCGTCTTCGAGTGTAGGGCCCAAAACTGGACGCAGTTCTCAAGGTGAGGCCTCCCCAGTGTCATATAGAGCAGAAAAATCACCTCCCAGGACTTGGAAGTGATGCTCATGTTAACACAACCTACTATGCTGTACAGATCACCCTGCTCCTCAGAGTTTCTCGGAAATGCCTGACCCTCTGCTTAAAGGATGAAGTGCTCCAGGCTTGGCTTGGGCCTGCAGGTGGACTATAACGAGATCAGTGTGAAAGCACAGTGGTTGCATTTGAGTGGGAGGTGAGTGAACAAGGCACGTACGTGCGCACGCACACTCTCTTACTGCCAACAGCGTTTCCCCCAGCAGAACCCCTGGGCTTTGTCAGCTGGTGTCTGACAAGGAAGTAACCCCTTGGAAAAGCAGAGCATGGCTTGGTCCTGAAGCCTCCCACTACGTGACCGCATGTGCCAGGCATGTACTGTGCAGCTGCCCTGTTGTCTCCACTCTGTGTGCTGACAGGAAGATCATGTGGGTAGGTATGGGGGTGGCAGTGGAGATGTTTCTGGCCTGAATTAGCTTCACAGCAAACAGTCCCCTCACCAGCCTCCCAGCTGGGAGTACCTGGGCACCGAAACACAGGCAGAGAGAGTAGATGACTTGCCATTTATCCCCCTGGGTAGAAGGAGATGCAGTAAATCAAAGAACAGTCCCAGCTCCTTGATTTGGGCTACACAAGAAATGAGACTCGGTCACATGCCTCCATCTTTGCTCTGCTGATGGAGACCCTTTCTGGGTCTCGTTAAAGGACAACAGCATCTCTAATGCCAATCTCCAGGTTTTTATAGGCGATGGCTTTGCCTTCCTCTGTAGCAGGGGCACGGCTTCTATCTGGGATCTCTTGAGTGTATATTAACAGCCCTTTATAGAAGCAGGACACTGAAGTAGGTCGCGCTGCTTTACCTGTGGCAGGTCTGGATGTGATGTCTAGTGCTGTGTTGGGGTGACTGGTCTTGCTAAGAGGCTGGACAATGGATTTGTCTGGGCTGGTTCGGACAGGGCTGATCCTGACTCAGACAGAGGGTGGCGCTAGATACGACTGCTGAAGGTCCCTCCCAGCCCTACTGCTCTAAGATTTCTATGATTTAAAAATAAGCTAACTAGTTGTTCCTAGTGGGGTTGAAAACAAATCTATTCTCAGCTCAACGCTGTTCAACATTGGGCTTGAAGAACTGGAAGAAAACAGATGAGGAAAGTGGTAAAAGCCCCTGGGGAGCCTGTTCCTGGTTTCTGGAATTCAAGGACTCTGAAAACCTGGCGAACATCATGGAAAAGCAACAAGAATGGTCAGAGGTCTGGGGAGGTTTTATAGCAAGAGATGCAAGGAGCTAAGTCTGTTTAATGTGTGCAGAAGGAATCTAAGGTGTAGCCAATCATAGCCTATGAGCATCTCCACAGCGTGGAAATATTCATGAGTAGAGGTCTCTAGTCTAGCGTAAAAGGGCCAATGGTTGGAAGAAGCAGCCGGATACGTTCGGACTGGACATAAAGGGCCAGTGTTAATACTGGACAATCAGCCACTAGACCTGTGGCTAGAGCAGGTATAACACCCCCCCAGTGTCACGGATCCCCTTCCCTTGCCTGATCTGCCGCTCTGCTTTCTGCCTGGTCCTTTGCTCTTTACCTGATCGGTGGCTCTGCTTTCTGCACTGTGTTGTGCCTGATCTACTGCTCTGCTTTCTGCTGCTGTCCTGTGCTCCCTGCCTGATCTACTGCTCTGCTTTCTGCTGCTGTCCTGTGCTCCCTGCCTGATCTGCTGCTCTGCTTTCTGCTCCCTACCCTGTCTGCCTCTCCCCTCTCCTCCTGTCACATGCCACACACAGAGGCTGCCCTAGCCACTTGTGGCACACTTGCCCAAAGGTTGGCCACCCCTGCACTAGAACAGCCGCCTGGTAGGCTGGGGCTTCTCTGTTGTTAGAAGTCTTTAAAGCAAGATGCTCTGCCCTTCTAGAAGATCTGCTCAGACAAAAGGCTGAGGCTTGATGCAGAAATCGCCACGGCAGGTTCTCTGATCAGAGCTGCCCCGGAAACCAGATGGAAGAGTCTGTGTTTCTGGTAATGGCTGCTCCCAGAGAAGCCCCTCACCTGGTGGCTCCGGGTTTGACCCCTAGCATGTCCCAGCTGTCCTTGCTGCCGCGGATCCTCCGGATGGTGTCCGCCTGCTCTTTGGTGAAGCCAATGCTCATGCCCATTGCAGGGCGCTTCCCCCCGTTGTCGCATAGGTCAATAATTGCGGAGTAGAAGGTCTGAAAACACAGAGAGGTTAGTAGAAGGCTCCCCACTTTGCTAGGAAACCAGGAGATGCAGGGTGCTAGGTTCAGAGGTTTTGGCCTATTGTGACAAATGCTTGACACCTCCCATGCTTACCGTTTGAAGCCGTGGCCTTGAACCCGGCACCTCAGCCTCCTTGGTGCAGCCACTCATCCTAGTCTGCCACTCAGCTGTGCATTAGAGTGGACACAGGTGGTCAGAACCTGATATCTGGGCCTAGCCACCTGCCCGCTGCCTGTGGAGTGGCCAGCCAGGGTCAATTGGCCCTTGACCCTTCCTATAAAATCCCCTGACCCAGCAGAGGAAGTCTTTGGGCAACAAGGTTCAATCTTGTACCCAAGCTGCCTCACCACTGGCTTGTGCTTTTACCCGACCTGGTTTGCCCATGGACCCCAGAGTTTGGCCTGACCCTGCAACTCCCTGACAAAACTCTGGTTTGATTTCCCGGATACTCAATCTGGCCTCCTGACCCCATGCTCTCCCCAATCCTTTGGATCCGACTCAGCTCCCCAGACAGATCTTCTGGCTTCATGGCTTCCCTACGCTCAGACTCTGCACACTCTTCTTGGATCTTGGTTGCTTCTGACCCCTGGCAACTCCCAGACCTGGCATGACACCCAGCTCCTTCAGGCAGTGGTCTGAGAGCACAGACACAAGCTGCAGGACTCATGTAGCAAAAGTTTCCACTAGCAGCATGACACAGTGCTGCTCGTCTGTTAGAGCATGGGAGACTCCCTTGTCCCCAGTATGGGGCCAGCAGAGACCCTAGGAAGCCTGCTACAATATCCTACTCTCAGATCCATGAAGCACACAGCCACATTCCTGGAATCTGCGCCTTACACCTAAACCAACCTTTTATTCTATTACTGCTTAATAGCCAGGGGCTTTGAGTGCTCGTCAGAGAGAAAGTGCAATTTTAGCATGAAGCAGCCCTTATAATGAACTGCCAATAGATTTTACAGATCAAGGGATATGAGGGACAGTCCACTGAGGAAAACAGGTGGAATGGGCCCATGTCCTTTCTGTATCATGCTCCTGTTACCTGGAACATCTCGTTGATCCCTTCTCCTGTCTGTGCCGATGTCTCGAAATAAAGGAAGCCCCGGCTCTCCGCCCACAGGCGTCCTTCGCTTTCATCCACACAGCGGTGCTTGGTGCAATCAATCTGAGCCAAACAGGCAACGGGGAGAAAAGCAATCAGACACAAGAACATGGGCTATCATGGCTATCTTCACACAGCTACCTCGAGGGCCATGCCAGATTGGATGACGAACACATTGACAGCCGATTGCCAGTGACAATGGCTTCTTCAGCACAGTGAGAGGAAGAAGCTGGTGTCCTTAAGTCACAAATAGAAAGTGCTTGTGAGAGCAGAGAACCTTGTGAACAGGGCAAATGCAGAACCGGGATAGCTGGCAGGGATAGCTTCTTTACCCCTGTGAAGATGAGGCCTTGTGAAGGAACTGGGGGTATATAGAGCTGTGGCCAACAGCTGTGTGGGACCACTGATGAGCTCCAGCTGAGAGAATGGTACCCTTTGAGGCAAAAGCTGCAGCAAACAGCTAAGTGGCTCCCCCTTCATTCAGCAACTCGCCGTGAAGTAACTGGTTTGTGAACCATCTGGCTATGAGCAATCTGGGTTTGTTCTAGTCTGGGGGTTGGATTAGATGACCCTGTGAAGCCCCTTCCAGCCCTATTTTCCTATGATCCTACTGCAGCCCCGGTCAGCCCCTACCAGAGCTCCAGTAAGTAATCTGCATTTAGCTCTCCCCAGGTCTTCACCCTTCAAGCAGCTCCTTCCCATGGGCTCCAAGGTTTCCTGAGCTAGTTGGGAATGCCTCATGCATGCCTGCCCCGCAGTGTGGCTTACTTTGTTGGCGCAGACCACAAAGACAATGTTCTCTATGTTTCCATGAGGCCCCAGCTCCTGCTTCATCTCAGCCAACCAAGTGTCCAGTGCTTCAAATGACTCCTTCTGTCCCACATCATAGACGAGAATAACACCCTGAGTGTCCTTGTAGAACTCGTTACGCACCTACGTTGAGAGAGCAAAGGAGAAAACGAATGCGACGCCCCATCTTGGCTGGCAACAGCTGAAAGCAGGAGTCTCCACAGCTTAAGCCAAGGTGCCAAGCCCTGTAGGTCCCACACCCTTCACTGGCTCAGACAGACTGGGAATGCACTGACCAAGGATTACACAAGCACATAACTAAGCCCAGCTTGTAACAGCTCAGGGAAGAGGTGCTGTGCTGAAAGGGATACTAATATGGGTCTTGCCTCTTCACTCAGGATCAGACTGACACCACTTTGGGGTCAGGAAGGAATTGTCCCCTGTGGTCAGACTGATACGGACTGGGTTCCTATAGCCCGATTTTCAGCAGCTCTGAACAATCCTAGCTTCAGCTGAGGTCACTGAGAGCCTGCATGGATCTGACTACAGCCCCTCAAGTCCCTTCTGACACTAGGACTGTGTGGAAGCTGGGGTGCTCTTGCCCCTGAAACCATAGGCCTAACAGCAGGGAGAGTCACTGCCTCAGCCACAGCCACGTTCAAAATTCAGCAAGTCCTGGGTCCCAGACCTGTGCTCAGTCCCTTAGACCAAGCTGCTTAAACTGCACAATGACAAGGGCCGGTTAGGCAACGAGGGCTTGCTTCTGTGATCAAGCCACCGGCAATGGGCGTACACAGCAGTAAGCGAGCAAGACCGTTCATGGTATGTTGCCTGACAGTGCAGCCCCTTTCCATGCGGTAACATCCTAGCTGCCATGGGCTGGAAAGCATGATCAGGTGTGCTGGATCAGGCATGCAGGGCAGTGCAGAGCCTGATCCCAGCATTTGGGGTGGCACAAGGCCTGATCCTGGAGCATGGTGGCACAGAGCCTGGGGTGCGATTTGTGTGTGCAAGAGCCAACCGAGGCAGCGCAGGGTCTGATCCTGGCATGGGGGCCCAATCAAGCCAGGGGACCAGCCCCATGCCCCTGATCTATACAGATCTCTGCTTTCTGCAGGTCTTCTCTGCTTTTGGCCAATGCTTAGCTATCATTGCATTGCAATGCTTAGCTATCGTTGCAGCTCGGGTGGTCTGTGAGACCAAAAGGGATCTCAAACGGCAGACTGTTTAATGCCATGCCTACCAAAGAGAAGCAGTCATCTCTCCCTTACCTCATAGAAGAAGGGGTGCCCGGCCATGTCAAAGATGTTCACTTTAATCTCACGGTCTCTGACTTGCACTCTGGAAGGAGAGACAGGAAATGCTCAGAGGAGGTGGTACACTCCAGTCACACTGGGCACCAGTGAGAGAGAGCCAGGGCTCTCTCCCTGCCACCAAGATCCCACTTCAAGGTGCCGATTCTTAATAGGGGAAGTGTCAGACTGTCAGCCAGCCAGCAAAGCAACAAGAGCATCTCCACTGCTCTATACAGTTCAAAGGGGGTGGGGGGGTGTAAATAACCACCACCAGACAAGGGAGGGATGCATAGAGCAGCCAGCTCGCTTGCTCTCCTTCCATTATAGTACAAGCCACTTGAGGTGCTTGAGAGTAAAGCAAGCAGCCATGTAAACCAATGCAAAAAGCCCTATTTACCAAACCCCATTATATGCATGCACAAATAGAGACTGGGGAATGACTGGCTGGGCTGCAGCCCTGCAGAGAAGAATCTGGGGGTTACAGTGGACGAGAAGCTGAATGAGAGTCAACAGTGTGCCCTTGTTGCAAAAAAGGCCAACAGCCTCCTGGGTTGTATTAACAGGAGGGTCACTTGCAAATCAAGGGCAACGATTCCTCCGCTCAATTCAGCACTGGGGAGGCCTTCCCTGGAGTCCTGTGTCCAGGTTTGGGCCCCACACCTTGACATGGATAGGAACAGTTTGGAAAGAATCCACAGCAGAGCAACAAAAGTGATGAGGGACCTGGGAGGCAAGACTGATGAGGAAAGGCTGAAAGAGCTAGGGTTATTTAGTCTGGAGAAGAGAAGACTGAGAGGGGATTAGATAACAGTCTTCAAATACCTGACAGGTGATTATAGAGAGGATGGAGAAGGGGTTTTCTCTGTGGCTGCAGGGGACAGGAAGGACTAGGACGAATGGCCTCAAGCTTAAGCAGAGGAAATGTAGGTTGGAGATGAGGAGGAACCTTCTGCCTCTGAGGGTGGTCAGGCATTGGAACAGGCTGCCCAGAGAACTGTAGTATCTCCAACCCTGGAAGTTTTCCAAAACACGTTGGACAGCCCCTTGGCTGGGCTGGTTTTGGCAAGGATGCACCTGCCTTGAGCAGGGGACTGGACTAAATGACCCCCCGAGGTCCCTGCCAGCCCTGCTTTCCTATGACTGCACTGCAGATTAAAGGCACGGCTTATGCCAATTTAGGTGTTCCAGCTAGTTCTGGGGAAGTAACCTGCTTTCAGCTGTTTGCAGCTCATTAACGCTGGTTACCTTGTTACTTAGAGCCTGCCCCCAGCCTCTGCAGAGCTGTTCACACCTCATCAAGGGGACTTCACACTGGGCTCAACTACACGTGCACTTTACTGCACAGCAGACCAATTTACTGTGCAGTAAAGTGTCACTGTACATGTACGCCACAACTAGGGCACAGTACATTAATTTACTCTGGCATCGGATAGCCCTGTCAGACACAGCACGAGAAGTCCTGAGGTCCCTTCCAACCCTTATTCTCTATGATTTTCTCCCCTCTCCCTCTCCAGCACTGACTTCTGCTCTCTTCAATCAGTTGCTCCAATAGGCAGCCTTTGCTGAGCCTGCAAGAGACCTGCTATCTTTGGTTGCTACCATGTTAGCTGGGTTTTCATCCTCACTGCTCGTGAGCAGGGAGGAGAGGATACTTACTTGGTGACGCCATAGTCGATCCCTATCGTCGCAAGGTATTTGGGAACAAACCGCTTCTCACAGTAGCGCTTTATGATGCAGCTCTGAAAAACAACGAGACAAGAACAAAGATGAAAGTTGGTGTTTAGCCTTTGAGTGTGGGTGCCCGCCGGGCTGCGGAGGCAGCAGAGCTAAGGGGTCTTGCTGCAGCTACAGAGGTGGGAGCTTGTGCTTTGCCCCAGGCTTGCGCTGGAAGCCAGGCCTAGGCAGTGCACAGCTGGTCATTGAGACTGAGGCATAGGTGGCCAGACATACCACGTTGTTCTCGTGCGTGCTGTTGGCTACAGGAACTAGCGTGTCCAGCCCATGCCAGCCTGAGGGGCTACTAGTTTCAGACGACTACAGGCAAACAGGCCACTTTGCACCACAATTAATGACAGCGTCACTGCCCCAGAGGACGATGGACCGATGCACCGATGCAGAGCTCACAGAGCTGGAGGGGAGCCAGGTCCACCATGCTGCCTGCCAGGGGCTTTGTTATGGCTAAGCTAGCTCACATCCCGTGCCACGGGGATGGGTAACAGTACAAAACTTGACAACGGGGAGCACTGACCACCTGAACGATCATGAGGAGACGGGGCCCTGAGGGATCTGACCTGTGTGGAGGAAAGCAGGCATCAGATACAGCTGCACAGTCACTCCGGTGGCCTGCTAACCACCTGGGGGAGGCAGAAGTTGCACGGCCCTTGCGAGGGACCACCTAACCTTGCTGTACCCGTCTCCATGACACGCCGAGACAGGGGAACCACTGGAGCACGCAGCCACTTTCACTATGTTGAAGACGTCGGCATCCAAAGCCTTTGCGTTAAGTCACCGGTCGTAAGAGGCTCTTGCTGCGTCTTCTGGCAAACCCCCGGGGGCCTCACATGATAAAATCAGGCGAACCAAATGGGTTGGGGCTGATTAGTTTGGGTGCAGCGGGGCCACGGCCTCACTAGAGACTGCAGCTGGGACTTGCTTTGCTTCGTGGGGACACGCAGACAAGGCCAGCCCCTCCACGCCTCCTCGGGAAAACGTTGGGGTCTCTGTCCCGCAGAGGCGGCTGGCTTGCGGAAGTGCTGGGATCTGCCTTGAAAGAACACGCCCCGCGTTCGGTTTCTTTGCCTCCTTTCAAAGCTGCCGGCAGCCGCGCTCTCAAGGATCCTGCTGCAGCGTGAAGGCTAACACCAGCAGACTCTCAGCGGGTCACGGGACGCCGGGAGATGAAGACTGCCCCGGGGCCAGAGGCTGCCAGGAAGGGGGTGTCCTGAGCCCTGTACTGCAGCAGCAGGGAGAGTCCCCAGGGTTGAGGAAGGGGAAGCTGTGCCACTCCCAGCCTGGGACCAATGAGAAGACGAAGACAGTGCCCCGCCTTTCCCAGGCAGCCAATAAAAAGCCCCTTCCAGAAGCCGGCCCCGCCTCTCCGAGCTGTCAACAGAACCTGTCAATCACAGCCAGGGGCTGAAGCCTGATTGGACGCCTACGCACCCATCCCGCCCACTCACGAGCCCTTAACGGATTGGCGGTTGGGCACCACCAATCCGCGGGCTCCCTACGCCGCCCGCGCGCTCCGATTGGGCGCAGCGCGTGTCTCTCATACTCCCGCCAGCCAATCGCCTCGCCCCTCCGCTCACCTTGCCCGCCTCGGCGTTGCCCATGGAAATGACTTTGATCCTCATCGACTTGCGCGTTTCCTTCCGCTTCGGCAGATTCGCCTCCATGGCGGGGGTGCGAATCTGCCAGTGGGGGGGGGGGCTGCCCCCGCGGGGGCTCGGCAGCGGCTCCGGCACCCCGCTCCACCGCTCCGCGATTCTCGCCCTCCGGCCGAGATCTCGCGAGATGTGCTAGCGGCGGGAGCGCGCTCTCGCGAGGGGCTGGAGCTCCCACGAGATTTACTGCCAGCGTCGCTCTTTGTCGAGGTCTCGCGAGAGACCGCGAGATCTCCGCCTGTTTGTTTTTTTCAATTTGAATAACTTTATTGACTCGGTGTCTTAAAGGGGCGGGGCAAAGGGGGCGTGGCCAGTGGGGTGCCTGCATTCCCCATGGGTAGTGTGGTCTGGTGGGGAGAGCTTCCCCGCCCCTGCCCTAGGGGGCAGTGGTGGGATTACTGGGAGTCCTGGGTTCCCTGCCCCTGTCCCTGTCTCAGGAGGCAGTGGTGGGATTACCGGGACTCCAGGGTTCTCCGCCCCTGTCCTAGGGGGCAGCGGTGGGATGACAGGGACCCCTGGGTTTCCTGCCCCTGTCCCAGGAGGCAGCGGTGGGATTACCGGGACTCCTGGGTTCCCCGCCCCTGCCCCTGGAGGTAGCGGTGGGATTACTGGGATTCCTGGGTTCCCCGCCCCTGTCCCAGGAGGCAGCGGTGGGATTACCGGGATTCCTGGGTTCCCCGCCCCTGTCCCAGGAGGCAGCGGTGGGATTACCGGGACTCCTGGGTTCCCCGCCCCTGCCCCTGGAGGTAGCAGTGGGATTACCGGGACCCCTGGTTTCTTGTTGCTGCCCCGTGAGGCAGTGTGGTGCAGTGGTGAGAGCACAAAGGCCACCTCTTGGCTAGAGACAGAGGACAGCTGCACTCTGTAGATCAAAAGTGCTCGTTCCCTGGCCCACGGGCCTGATCCGGTCCCCAGCGCTGTCATCTGGCCCACGGGGCTCCCCATGGCCCCACGCGCTAGACCCTGCCTAGCGTGGTGTGCAGCCCCTGGAGCCCAATCCTCACTGAGCTGGGGCTGTGCCGGGCCGCTGGAGCCTGATTGTGGCCATCATGGTGGTGTGGGGCCTAATCCGGCTCATGGACCAGCCCTGCCCCATTTTGGCCCACGGGGCCAAAACGGAGATCACTGTTGTTATAGACTAACGAAATCATTGGGGACTGAACCAAGACCCCCTAGAGCTAAAAGCAGAGTCTGCTGCAGCTGGAGAGCCAGGTCGTAACCATCTGTCATTTGTGGTTTGGCACAGGCGAGACGTGTGCTGCACGCTAGGAGCCACAGGGAAGAGCGAGTGGAGGAAGGGAGAAGAGAGGAGAGGATCCCAACCTGCCGCCAACTCCCCTGCGGGAGGACCTGCAACTTCTGCTGGTGGGTCTGTGGCTCGAGGATTAGGCTCTTAAGTCACCTCAGGACGCGTCAATGAGCTGCGATAGAGACCATCCTTGAATCGAGGGATTGCCGACAGCGATGCTAGGAGCCAGGACGCCTGGGTTCCACCTTCTGCTGTGGGGTTGCCTTTCTTGAGCCGCTTCTTCGAGGCCACGACAATAAGCAATGGCTGCTGCCCTGGTTCGCAGGGAGGAGAGATGCGGAGAATTAAGTGTTTAATGAGCTGAGCTCGTGGCACAGTCAGAGCCTCAGCAATTTTGATGGAGAGGAGCTAGAGATGCGAAAATTATCCAAATGATGAGTGGTATCATCATCATCATCGGCAATCCTTCGCTTCAAAAATGATATCTACCACGGCTCATTCATGGGTCTTGAGGTGACTTATCCTTGAGCCACAGATCTGTCTGCAGAAGTTGCCGGTCTTCCCGCAGGGAGCAGTAGGCTTCAAGCTGGGATTCCTCTCCTCCTACTGCCGAGGGATGCTAGGAGAGCGAGTGCAGCACTGAGAAGGGCGGATGGGGGGCACGTTCTCAGCGCTGGGAGCTGCAGTACACCACGTTGCAAAGTGAACATCAGCCTTGCTTTGCCTTTTTTTTTTTTCTTTTGTTATTGTCCTTGAAAAAGGATGCAAGGTCCCTTCTGCTTGTGGCACTCAGAAACCTCAACCTGAGCAGCAGCCTAATAAGAGACCCTTATACGGCACTTGAAAGTCAATCAGCACTCGAAAGTCAATCAGGAATTCTCCCTGGCCCATAAGTGATTCTTACCCATGCAGATTTTAGTTTCTTCAGTGTCAGTCTGCCGGGAGTTGGGGACTCCGCTCTAGCCTGCTCCAGGGTCTCTCCAAACTACTTTGCTCTTTTGAAGGAAAAAATGTGCACCTGGGGAGATCCCAGTCATGACACACACAGGGAAGATTATCCAGCTTTTTCTCAACCTGGGATGTGTGGCAGGATGGGCCCTGGATCACTGGTGCCCCCTTACGGCCATGCTGATCCTGCCCTACACCTACACCAGCCCCTCTGCGTTACCCCCTGACACATCTTGATGGAAATGTCTTATTGCAGTGGCAGGCTGCCCCAGAGCCCTGGAGTAAGCTTATTGCTGATGTCCTAACTTGAACTTAACCTACTTGGTCTATCAACACCTATCTCAAAGCCCTGCTCATACTGGCCAGGCAGGCACCACTCATGGCCTTACCCATGCCGTAGGAGAGGTATTCTTGGCTTCCATCTGCCCCCGTAGCCATGCTCATGCCTCAATCACTGGTTTGGGAGTGGGGCAAGGGCTCCCAAGACCTGTAGGTTCGCTGTTGCTTCAGGCACCGATCTCTGTCCGAGCCTCAGCCTTGCCCTTGGCCCTTTTTCTCTTGGCCTTGCCCTCAGCCCTGGCCCGCTGCACTTCTTCTCTATGCAGGGCTCAAAGCAGAGCACCCTATAGCACCCTGGGATCAAGACAGAGCACCCCGTGTCACCCTGCTACCTAGTCTTCAAATACCCATCATAGTCACTGCCCACTCCAGCTCTGGAGCTGAGTTTATATCCCTCCTGGCACCTCCCTTCCAGTCACCCCTCCATCATGCCCACGTGTTTCCTCTTAGCCCAAATAAGCCCTGCCTAATCTTACCTGGATGCTCAGTCCAGTGTTTAGCTCATCTTTCTCTCTTAAAATGACCCGATGTCCCGTGACAGGGTGTATCCATCCCCTTCAATCAACCACCGAGCTTAAGTGTAGTTACCAGCTCCTCCATGTTCGTAGTCATTCTGGGTAGATTGTAATGCTTACCTTCTCTGGCACCACAAGCTTTCCTTTGGCTACCTAAGAATATGTGTACGTTGAAAAATGGAGCAAAGTAACTATTACAGAATAAATAACATTTACTTATAGTAAATAAGAAATATTTACTATTACAGAAAATCATTCACTTCCTATAAAGGAAGGAAGGATTTAGCTAGCAAAGGGACCCTTCCTCGGGATTGTCCGAGCACAGGGTATTTTTCCTGCTACAGCTGATTTCCAGGAGGGCTGCACAATCTTTGGTAGTTTAAGCTTAGCACCAGCTTAGTACAGATTTCCAGTGGGTTTGGCCCAGTGAGTGTATTTGCCCATCAGGTTATCATCGAATTCTGTGTGTGCTGGAAATCAGACATGGCAATACTTGAATTGTAGAAAATCAGGTTGCGAAGGGACCTCAGGAGGTCACATCTAGTCCAACCCCCTGTTCCAAGCAGGACCAGCCCCAACGCCATCACCCCAGCCCAAGCTTTGTTGAGCCGGGGCTTAAAAACATCCAAGGGTGGAGACTCCGCCACCTCTCTGGGTACCCCGTTCCAGGGCTTCACCACCCTCCTCGTGAGAAAGTTCTTCCTAATAACTTCCCTTGCTGCAACTTGAGCCCATTGCTCCATGTTCTGTCATCTGCCCCCACTGAGATTGCACGTGCACCCCCTGCGACTGGTGGCAGGGTGGGTGTGGATGGGATCCCTTAGGGGACTGCTCTCCCAGCACCACTGCTGCCTGCTGAGAGGCACTGGATTCCTTGCTATAGACCATATTTCACGGTGGGGGTTCGCTTCCTGCATGGCCAAATCCTTCTTAGGTCGGTAACTGGGGACAATCCCTCTGGAAGCCAGGGGCAAAAATACATCTCTCTCCTGTTGGGATGGAGAAACCTTTTATACTCAGCCCCCTGGCTCCTCTGCCGTCAGATAGTTCAATAGCAAGGGGCTGTTGGGAAGGGGCATGTATGTCTGGCTCCTCTCCCCGTTGTTATGGAGAAGCCCCAGGAAAGGGGCTGTATCCTAATGGATCAGGATGTAAAAAGTCCCATGCTGGGTCAGACTGATGGTCCATCCAGACCAGTGTCCTGTGTGTGATGGAGGCAGGAGTGGATGCTTTAGGGGGAGAGCAGGTGGACAGGGTGTATTGTGAGTGATCCCTCCCCTGACAGACCCTCTCTGGCCTCTACTCTTCTTGGTGTAAGGATGTCCAACTGGTTTGTTGAACAGCTCCCAATGGACCTGGACTCCATACATGTGTCCACTTCCTTTTTGAAGCTGGCTGTACTTGTTGCTTCTATAACCTATAAGGCAACAAGTACTGCAAGTTAACGACGCACGATGTAAAACAGCATTTCCTCTGGCTCAGGCCATGGCAAAAATCCTGGGCTTCTCTTCTTGGCCCTCCTATCAACCTGCCATACATCTTTTGCCTCTCTTTGTGCCTGTATGTGCCCAATAACCCCGTTGCCACGTTGCAAGTAGGGTTGCCAAGCCTCCAGAATTGCCCTGGAGCCTCCAGGAATTAAATATAATCTCCAGGAGATTGCTGAGTGTCACCCGGGAGATAAATGATAGGGCATTCATTAAAATAAATATTCAATGTTGAATCCAATTTACACAGTAGTCCAGTGGGGTTTTTTTTAAATGTAATAGTAATGTATATTTGTCTTCCTGAGTACAGGACAGTAGATCAGTCATCCATGTCGTTACATCACGTGATGAAAACTCCTGGAATCGATTCAAACAGAGTTGGCAACCCTAGTTGCAAGGCTGCTGTTCCTATGAAGCTCTGAGATCCTTCTGTAGCAGCCCCCAGACTGCTAGCAAGGGGTGAATGTCATATAGAGAAGCCAAGCCCGGGGCCCAGGATGCAGGGAGAAACCCAGCGGTCTCCTTTTTGGCATGCTTTGTTACCGCGGCTGGTGGAAAGTCATCCGGTGCTGCCCT